CCAGCGAGTTGAGTGGGAGTTTAGGAGCAAGGAGCTTCTACAGGCAAATCCTGTCTGAGCTGCTGGCAAGCTCCGACGGCCGATCTCTGTGAGTCCCTTTCCTTTGGCAGTGGTTAAAAAAAGTGTGATCGCTGGTTTTGTTGCTTTGTCGTCTCTGTTCCATTTTTTTCCCCTCCCGAGGTCCCAATTCAAAGCAGAAGTGTCTTTCTGCTGATTTTTTTTATGTGCCCTGGATCAAACCTGTTCGTGGTTGTCAGCAGCAAGGAACCCGTATAGTGGTGGCAAGAGCTCCTCTCATGAGAGGAGCACCACCACAGCTCATAGTCTGCACCTTAACTCTGTGGTCTTTTGCAACTTTTCTGCTAAGCTCTGGCTAGAATGATGAAATCTGTTTCTTAGTCTGGCTAGATTCCTTGTTGGCCCCAGCACAAAGTGCAGGTTAAAATTGTTTTTGCCTCTCCATGTCTTTCCTTACCCCACTAGGAAAAAGGATTTAGTTAATAGAGACACAGTCCTATAATTTACTGCATTTTGTTTCAACATGCATCGTTCTGATTCACATTGCTTGTGAACAGATAAGTTGTGACCTTGAGTAGTGGGTCCTGGCATTCAACTGACTTGTTTGCATGGACGTACCTTGAAAAATTAATTCTGAATTTTTTCCACTGGATGCTATGATCGTTTCACCATTGACATTTCTTTTTGTTTTGTTTCTTAGAGAAAGCCAGTAGTTCTGACAGGAATGGAACTGGGCCCTTGCACAACCAAATGGACAGTAGATTACTTGAGCCAAGCTGAAGGATCTAAAGAAGTAAAGATTCATGTTTCCACAGTGCCACAGATGGATTTCCTCAGTAAGAACTTTGTGTATAGGTACTGCACTCCAAGGCCTCTTGTGTTTTAAAGGCATGTGCTTGTAACTTGCAGACATACAGTGCATCTGCCTGAAGCTGAGGGTGAGAATATGAAGATAGTTAGTGAAAACATTAAATTATGTATCGAAGTGCTGTCCTTGATTTCTCCCTCTTCTATTCATTCTACAAATATCTTTATGTCCTGAATTTAACACTATGAGGGTGAAATGAGGGCCCAAACAGCACCTTAAAAGAGATGTCATGGAGTAGTGTTACAAAGGTATTTTGACAGAGCATTCCTCTAAGAAATTTGAGCCTGGCAGTTGCTGCCATTAATGAAAAAAGCAAACCAAGACACCCTTGATACTGGATGATATGCTATTTTATTCTACTTACACGGTCTGTTTTCAGTGTTACTGAATAGTGGTAGTTTCTGCCTCAACATGTACCTGGACCTCTTTGAATGCTGGTGTGTGGCAGGCAGGGTATTCCACTCTAGGAGGGGTGTAGCTAATTAAAGCCAAGCTCCTTTCAAAGTTAGGATGTGCAGTTCTCAGAATGTTAGAACTACTGGATACTGCATGTTTCACCAGCTCTTTAATCTTGGTGCAGGTCACAAAACACCTTGCTCTCCTCTGAAGTTCCTCTTGGTTTTCAAGGGCAAATGCCTTTATTTTAGCTCTTGTTTGTTTACCCCAGGTGGGAACAGGATGTGTTCAGTCTGTTAAACTTTTAAGCAGGTGGAAGCATACACTATAAGTGTAAACAAGCTACAAGTCTTTGAGTGGAGCCTGTTGTTCTAGGGGAAAAAGCACATAACAATTATGGTACATTCTGTTCCCTGCATAATGAACTTTTGAATCTTAAAGGTTAGGTTGTACTTGAATGACTTTGCCTTATCTCTGTATTTTATTTTCCATGCTCTATTTTGTTTTGTTGTGGTTTTTTTTTAATTAATCTCTCTTACTGTGAGTTCACATCTAGTTAACCCGGTGTGCTAGTTTTAGCAGGTTTGTAGACAGCCATATGGAGTCTTTGATGGTGCTTCAGTATAGCAAGTGTCAGGACTTCCACCTACTTCACTTGAAATTCAGGAAGCTTTGACCCTTTCCACAGCAAGCCCCTCATTCTAATCTGAAGGGAGAATAAGTAGTACCAAAACAACAGAAACACTGAGGACTTAACATGCAGTTCCATGAGTTTAAACTGATGCATGTGAGTAGTACTGCAGTCCTGTTGTAAGTTGCATGCTCCTACCCCTGTCTTTGTGTTGGTTCTGGAACTCATTCAGCTAGGTTGTGATGTGCTGCAGAAGTCTGAATGTTTTTCTGCTGTTTTAGCTTTGCAAGCAGGTTCACTGTGAGGTCAGATGAGTGCCAGTGCTGCTGTAGGGGAGGAGATGGGGTGATAAGGGTAGACAGCAAGGACAGAGCTGTGGCAGCACCAGCATGCATCAGTTTAAGCTGTCGTGGAGCTGTGCTCTCACTTTCTTCAGTAGCAAATGTAAATGGGCATGATACAACAGTCTAGCTGAAGTCAGAGCACTGGTTCTTGTTTGGTTGTCCGTTGACTTCAGTGGTTGTATTTGCCTGTTACAAAGAAGCCTAAAGTTTAGAGAATTGGTCTAAGTAATGTCTGATGAATGTTCACATTCTGGTAGAAGGGATAACAGGATCAAGAAAAATTTTGCTTGAGGGTAGTTTCTTTTTCACCTTGGGTACTGGGAGGTTGTTCTGAAATGTGGTATTTATATTCAATAATCTATTATCCAGTAATACCTAATGTGAGATGCTGAGATGAGTAAATGTAACATTGAACTCATAATATAACAGTGAACACGTCCCGTTGCTGCTTGTGCTTGGTTTGCCATTCAGGTGTCAACTGATACCAAAATCTGTAATCTGTATGAAAAGCTTCCATTATCTAAATAAATATGTAACACTTGTATTGACCTCAGAGGGACCAGCTCTGATGCCCAGTGATTCCTTTTGAATCTTCTTGAGTTAGGTTTAGTAAAAGTTTAAAGAAACACTTGAAAATATAAAAAATGCTGTGTTTTGCTTAGCTGGAGAAGCACATATTTAAAAAAACCTCAGATAACTGAAATAAATTTTATAGATATGCAAATGAAGATAGTTATCTGTGTTTATGCACAAATTCTTAGCAGAAAATACATAGATATAAACATGTGTATGTTCCCTGCAGTAGTTTTCTTGATGCTGAACTTTTCTGCAAATTTATGAAAATGTACAGTAAACAAGTCTAAAAATTACACACTTATAGAAACAGTCTAAGCAAGTATTGCCAGGCTTTTGGTCACAGTTTGAGTCTTAATTTGACTGGAAAGAAATTTCGACTGTGACTCAAACCATTCAGAACTCCTAAGCTCAAGAGGGGATCTTTCCAAAGTGTATAAATAGTTGATGGAGGGAGTAAAGATGGAGCTCTATTCTTCTCCTGGTTCGTGGTGACAGGACAAGGGGCAATGGGCACAAGATGAAATACAGCAAATTCTGTTAATCTATTGAACACACTTCTCCCATCTTTTACTGCAAGGGTGGTCAAACAATGGAACAAATGAAACAGGTTGCCTAGAGAGCTTATGGAGGGTCCATCCTTGGAAATGTGCAAAACCACACTGGATGCTGTCCTGGGCAAGCTGCTGTAGTTGATCCTGCTTTTGGCAAGGGGGTTGGAATGGAGGATCTCCAGAGGTGCCTTCCAGCCTCAGCAATTACAGGATTCTGTTTGGATATTTACAATTTACTGAAGTGGAGAAGTTTTTAAGTGTAGGATTTCTATCTCAATAGAACTCTTCAAATATCTGCTGCAAACACTAATTAGTCACCATGTTAAGTTAAAAAAGTAAAAGAGCAGCACATTCCATCTTTTGTCTTACTTTACATGGTCTTACTTTTATATGGAGCTTATTATAAACCAAGCATTTACACCATGAGCTGTTACATTGATTCATTGTATAAATTTAGATATTTATATTTCAGAACTCTGCCTTTTGATGTATTTGTACGAAGAGCAGCTGAAGTCAACCACCAGGAGTACTTTCTTTCTGAGGTAATTTCTTTGGTGTCACAGTTTCTTCTGTCAGTTATTTTGCCAGTATATGCAAAGGAAAATGATGAATTGTAATTTAAAAGTTTACTTGATCTTAGATGTAACTTTTTTGTGGCTTGGAGCCAAGGGAAAAAATGTGAATTGTTTTGTATGTGCATGGTGTGGTTAACTTCAACCAGCCAGTTTCTGTTAACAAAAACTGCATACATGAGTAAAAATTCCAGTCTAAAATTTAGAAATCAAACCTTGCTTTAAAATAACAACTGTATCATTTGCGTGTTTCACAAGAAAATGTCATGAAGATATTTTAGAGTTTGATTACATCTGCTATCAAAATACAAATCCAGATTTTTTTTGTGACATGATTTGTAAGTAGCACATATGTGGCTATCTTTACATATCAATGTTCAAGCTAGGGATTTTTCAGGTAGCTGTGATTAGGAAGCAAACAGTTTTGAATGTAGACATGCTTTTTACCTTCTGTGCTACATAGAATGCTGTAAGTTTTGAAGCCAATTAAAATAGCTGCCTGCATCAGTGTTCTGAGGAACTTAAAATATAATCTGCATTTGCTTTGAGGCTGTTCAGTAACAGCAATGCTGAAGCAGTTGACAAGTCTCTCCCCTTTTACTCTTCTGCTCTCAGTTAATGTATTTTCCCATTTCTTGAGATGAACAGTAGGGATCAGTAGAGTAAAGGCAGTATAACAAAGCAGCTGAATTTGTAGATGCCATTTACTTGTACCATATTTTAATGAAGCTCTGCATTAATTAATGAGAAAATACAGGCTCTTTGTTTAAGTGTTTGCATTTCTTACTAAAAAAACAAAACCAATTCTTTTTGTGTTCTCTTCAGGATGAAAAGTACTATTTGCGATCAGTGGGTGAAGATGTTAGGAAGGTGAGTTATTTGAGATTACAGTTCCTATATTGTAAAGTTGCAGTTTAGGAATATTTTTTTAAAGCCCATTGTCATCTGCTGGGTCTGTAACACAGACACACAAGTTACTTAGGGTCACTTGGTTTGTAAATCTGACTGGATTTAGGTCAGAATATTTAAATCTAAGTGTCTAAATTAGTTGCTGTTATATGAGAGCTTAGCTGATCACTGAAGAATACATGGCTAACCTCCCTTTCTTTAGCTTTTGTTGTAAACTAATATAAAAGGATTTATGCTGATCTCTGGCTTCTTCAGTGTGATTTCTAGCAGTTCAAAGCAGCTCTCTGGCTGTTCTTGTTAGTGTCATTGAGCAAGTCATTGCTGAAGTGTGTTGCTGTGTTCAGGTATTCACCAATGCTGAAGTTCCAGCCCCATGTTTCATATGAAGGGAAAAGATAGGTGAAGTGCTCCCTCATTTAAATGTGCATATGTGGTTCTCTAAGAGTTACTGCCTTTCTGTTTCAGGACATTGCAGATATCAGGAAGCAGTTTCCCGTTTTGGCAAAAGATGTTCAAATTCCAGAGTATTTTGAGAAGGAACAGTTCTTCTCTAGTGTCTTCCGCATCAGCTCAGCTGGATTACAGTTATGGACACATTATGATGTAGGTAATACACAGGTTTAGCATAAAATGTTGCAGATGGCATTACAGAGTTGACATAATAAGGTGCAAATCTCTGACAAAGATCAGAGAATCATAACAGACTTCACATATTTTGAAATAGTGAAATGAATCACATTCAGTGGTACAGTGAATTTTAAATAGATGTATTGCGTGGGCATAATATCTTAACTGGGTTTATGTCTAATTCCATATTTGTGAGATTAAATGACATTTTATTGTGGTTTTTTTTTTTACTGTTTTGAGTTTCAGTTAAAAATCTGAAACACAGTAACTTTCAACATTTTTGTCTTCAACATTACATTCTTTTTTTTTTTATTCTAATGGCCATATTAGAATAAAATCCAATTGTACAACACATTGCCAGTTGTACAATGATTGTAGTAATTTGTGGCTGCAATGCAATAGATTCCAAATAAGATTTTCTTATAACATTGTGCAGTGAATTCTGAATAAATTTACTTATAAGAAAAATAGTTTTTGCCTTATAATTAGGAAAAAGGATCCTTATCAATAGAAAGTCAGACAAAAAAATCAAAGAGAAAAGGAATCCATAATATATTTTGTATTATATCTTGGTGGTTTATGTGTCTAAAGTATGGTATGGCTTTGTGTTTTAAGATGGAAGAACTTGATTCTTGGTTTCAGGAAAAACACAAGATAGTTGGAAAGCAATACTGTGTCTCCAGACACACTATTTGTCAAGAATGTGCAGTCAAAGGGATACAGTTACTCAAAATTTTAAGTTTTTTTAATTAACTGTAGTAGCTAACTCTTAACATGGGAAGGTTTTAATAATTCCCTCTTTTAAGCTAATAATTAATTAGCTTAATCCTATATAATCACTCTTAACTTTTGGCTGACATCTCTCTTATTATGCTTATTCCAGGTAATGGATAACTTCTTAATCCAAGTCACAGGGAAAAAACGAGTTGTTTTGTACAGTCCTCGGGATGCACCATATTTATATTTATCAGGTATGCATGTCATAGGTATCTAGGTCAGAGTTTGGTGATCTTAGCTGCCTTGTGGCTCACAGGTGTTGCACTGCAGAAAACAGTCACTAACATAGGACTTGATATAAAAAAAGTAATTTGTTCCCTTGTCTCTAATCCTGTTGGCTTTAGTCAAAGCTGAAAACAGCAGCTTTGCGTGATTGTTTTCAGCAGCTAACTGGAGGAGTACAGTGTTCTGTCTGGGCTCAAAATAGTGTTTTAAATGTCAGGAGAAGTGTTTTTTAATGTTAATAAGGTTGCAGTCACAAGACAAATGTAGACAACACTGCCATCAGGTTTCCCTGTTTTTTAGAAGACTTACAGCACAATAAACCAGTATTAAATTTGATTCAAGAACTGCCATTTCCAGCAATGTGATGATGCTTTGTTACTGTTGGAAGAGTAGGAATATTTATTCACTGAAAATTTTCCTAGGTACTAAATCAGAGGTGCTGGATGTGGATAACCCAGACATGGAGAAATATCCCCTTTTTGTGAAAGCCAAGCGCTATCAATGTCTTCTGGAAGCTGGAGATGTGTTATTTATTCCAGGTAAGTAACAAATGGTTCCTGAACGTGGCATTTTCATTTCTAGAAATGGTAAGAGGTTACTAAAACATTTCTATGTTTAAGTGTTCTGTGAGAAGTGTTGGCAAAACTTTTCTACTTCCCACTGTACAATTCTGATAAAAGCTATTATTATATCTACCTACAAATCTTAGTGTTCCTCAAGTTTAAACTTTGTGCTTATGAATTTGTGTCTTAGTAGATCAATATAATAAACTCACCTTGTGAAATCTGAAATTACTTCAGTGACTTGAGTTTCCCAGTGACAAGATTTGAGTAAAGTACCATTTCTGTTCTTCTGTAGCTCTGGCACTGTGAGGCGTGTGATCTGATGAGAATTTTGGATGGTAGAGTTACTGGACCTTCTAGAAATTTCTAATCCTCTCTGGGGAACGGAAAGACAAGTCCTTATCACTTTTCTGAACAAGCAGAAAACAGAAAGCTCCTTCCTGGGCTGAGATGACAGATTCTGGTAATCAGGGAAAAGCATTTGAATTACTCCTATTGAACTACTACTTGTTTCTGATTTTATTTTAACTCTTCATGAGTTTGTGGCAGATACTTACTCTGTCACTTTTATATTATCTGGGCAATATAAACAGGTCAGTAAACAAAAAGGCAGTAGGTTTTTAGGAAGTTATTTTAAAATAGTTTCTTAGCCTTGGACTTGTTACTTAGTTTTGAACTTACCATTTGTTTCTCTTCCTAAAGAAACTTTTGGTTACACTTAGATAATGGTGTGTCACACTGTTGCTGTGTTAGCAGGTTCGGAAGAGGGGCTTCTCCTGTCTTCTCCATAATAACCACACACATTTCTCAAAAAGCATCTTTTTTCAGTGATACACATTCCAGGTTGCTGACGAAGTCTTACCTTCATCCCACACATGCTTTTATCATTTGCTTACCTTTGAGTATCTCTATACTTCAGCAAGTGTTGCTTTCATGCAAAGTTATGGATTGACGTAAACGTCTTGAGGAACTTCTTAACTTTGGTACAATGCAATATATTCAGGGATGAATATTAATAAATAAACAAAAAATATGGTAGTTGAGGCTCTTCCTCAACTAGGTTTAGTTTGGGCGATTCTGACACTTGTTATGAGTCACATGGAAGTTTTGGATAGTAATTTTTATTTTAGACATTCTTCTTTCTGCAGCTTTGTGGTTCCACAATGTAATTTCTGAGGAATTTGGAGTGGCCCTGAATGTCTTTTGGAAACACCTTCCTGCTGAATCCTATGATAAGACAGACACTTATGGAAATAAAGATCCCGTGGCAGCCTCTAGAGCTATACAGATCTTGGACAGGGCCTTGAAAACACTTGAAGAACTACCCGAGGAATACAGGGATTTTTATGCTCGGAGAATGGTGTTACGCATCCAAGAAAAAGCCTATAGGAATGATTATGGATAAAATAACCCATTGTAATCAGCAAGCTTCTGTGCAAGTAGAAAATTGTATGTCAATATGGAAACTGTCCATGTGTACATACATTTTGAGACCAATAAAAACTGTTGGTAAATATTCATCTATAACGAAGTTGATCTTGTAGCTTTTTTTTCTTGTTTTTATCATGTGTAGTGAGTACAGTGATATACACATTTGCAGTGCCTGCATTTATAACTGTGCTGGTTTGGAATGTTCTACTTAAATTTTTCTGAACAGAAGTCCTGGTGTCTGGGCTGACAGCATGTATGCTTACAACTAACTGCACGTCTTCTGGAGTCTGACCTCATGAAAGTTTAGGAAAGCCATAGTGGTTTCTGAGGAAGTCTAGGAAAGCCATGGTTGGTGGCTGTAATGGTCAAGGTTTCTTTTTGAGTAATAACCTGAGAATAAGTGTGGGAAGTTTCTTCTCCCCCTTGTAGTGAGACTGAGAGTGGGTATGAGGAAAAAGCGCAAAAGCTAATCATGCCAGTTAAGCTTAGAATTGCGCAACAGCTTGACTGCAAGGCAAATGATTTGCCCTTTTCCTACCTGCATAATGTATTGTGGAGAAAACCTTGTTGGTCACTGCCCCAGTGCAGTCAGGCAGCATTGCTGTTTCTGTAGCTGTGAAACACTTGCAACTAATGTGCCCATAAATCCATTCAGCTACAGTCCTAGAATCTGCAGTGAAGTTCATAGTTCTGGAGTAGACATAGAATCTACTGGGAGCTGTACTTGAGGTGCTCTTTGTTACCATATGAGAGGGGGTTTGCATTGCACCTTTGGGGATGGAGCCTGTTGTTCAGGCATTGTAGGTTACTTTTTCAGATTGCAGTGCTTACAAAAGCCTTGTGAAATAAAGGTGGGGATCTCACAAAAAGGATAGGCTTGTCATTGTCTCTTTGAAATCCCTCTGATGTTATTACTTGTGCTATTTGGGCAATGCAGCATTTCTGTGACTAAGGTCAGTCTGTAATTTTTAACAATGTTTTTCGAGAACTGTGACTTGTCAAAAGCTCTTAGACTAAATAGTTATGTAGTGTTAATAAAGTGCTGGAAAAAAAAAAGCTTTCTCCAGAAGAGCAGGAGCTTGAACACTGTGCAGATTATTCTTCTAAACCTGTTCTTCTTGGCAATTCAACACAGTGAAAATAGTCTGGTACCATGTGAATGGGCACCCGGCCACCTCAATGAATAAGCATGAATGGAACCAGCCAAGCGATTCTGATGGGCATCATTGTACATTCTGAGGGTAGAATTTAAATTTGGGATCACAAATAGGTCTCCCAAAATTTTTGTTCAAAAAGGAACAAGGATTGCTTGTGCATACTGCTGAGACAGACTGTTAGGCTGGGGTAACCTCTTGGCTTTGTTAGATCGGTGATGTCGAGGGCCCCATCTGAATTGCAGAGGTGAACAGAGCATATTCTTTGTGTGTCAGGACTAAATGGAGAGGCTCAGAGAGCCTGCAGGGCTAGACAAAGCTGTGTTCCAGCATTGTGCCTGCACAGCCATCTCTTTTAACTATAACTGCCTCAATATACTGGTACAGAGAAGTCCTGTGCTGCTCCTGCATCCTGCCATTGCTTGATTCTCCAGTCACAAAAGGGACATGATAGCCCAGTGTTCTCAGGCCCCCTCAACACTCAGTAGTAAATAAGGGAAGCTTTGTGGAGCAGCAATTGGGGTGTGAGTGACCTGCTGCTGCCTCACTTGTGGGAAGTGCCTGCTGTGCTTCAGAGAGGGTGGGAGGGCTTGAGGCTCTTGGAGAGAGGGAAAGTAAAGGCGGAAAATCTTGTGGGTCAAATACCTTCACTGCTGTGCCTCCTAATGGTGATATTAAGATTTTCAATAATACTGGTTTCATAGTATGTATGTAAAAAGCATAAATAAGACCTGTCAAGCCACAAGTATTCAGAATGCTATTTTGAATATTTTTCAATCCCCTTTTAATTTTGTAAGGGAAGCTATTAAATTATTAGTCTAAGCACCTTAGGCCAAATGAAACCCTTGCATCCCTCAGCTGCAGTTAGTGCTGAAGTAACCCTGCAGGAAAGCTGCAACAGTACATTTGTTTAGGCTAGCATGAAGTCTGGATTGGAAAGTGTATATCTGGCTATACAGCACATGCAGCTATTCAGTTTCATGCTACCAAGTTTTAAATGAAGCCTTTATTTCACTTTGAAAGAGTTTCCTAAATTTCTTATTTAGTAACGTCTATAAAACAGTTGTTCTGAAATCCTATAAAAGGAGAAAACAAGCAGCTTAAAAATGCATTTCCTTAATTTGAACATAATGTGACTAGTGATAAAGATCTGGAAGTTAATGTGTTAAAAAAAATGAAATTATTTGGTGCTTTCTAACCACAGTGCTACATGGTGTGAAACAGGCAATAAAGTGATGAATGAATGGTGAAAGCATTGAAGGAATAACTTCCAGCTAACAGTGAGAGAATGTAAGTAGCCACTACTGAAATAACAAAGAATTAGAGCCACTGACATTTTGTGGAAGTTTGTCCTTTAGAGACCTAAACCAAAATGGGATCATGCCACAATAAAACAGATGAAGTTGTGGTAACAGGTATTAGAAAATAAACACTGACCATCTTAAGCATTCAAAGCAGCCACTTCAGCTGTCTTCTGTCTTCAGCAGAGGAGCTGGGTAATGCAGACTGCCCAGTGCTGAAAGATAAGTTAAGATACTTACATAAAGACAATGTCTGAAATCAGCAGTTTTAACTTGGTCTATATACCCCAAACTTTGAATTACTCTAAAAATTTGGTGACTGAGACCTTTAAAATGGAAGTCAAGACCTGGAAAGAATTATTTATTCTTGGCTATATGAAATATAAAGGATGACAAATGTTTCAGATTTCATTTTTCTTAATGTGCTTTCTGTGGAAAGAGCCAAATGAAAAAATTTATGTCAAAACATTTTTTTGGTCAAACTATTAAACAGATCATTAAAAATCTGCCTGTTATGTGTGTGCTGACAATTTGATGTACCCAACTTAAGAACTTCTTTTTTTCCAGGAGCTACACAGAATTCTTAATACAAGTGTTACATTAAATGCCTCATGTGAAAGGGTTTGACTTCATCATGAAGGATCAGAAATATATTTGCAATTCTTTTTAAATATAAAACTGTTCACCTCATTCATGCTGTTGGTCCCACAACAGGATTAACTTGACTAATATGAAGATGATTTTATCATACTAGAGGTTATATTACATATGATGTGATCCCAGTATGCATTACTTCCCAGCTTCAGGGAAATTCCTGTACAAACTTGATTCTTTTTTTCCTCTGACCAAAATTTATCTTCCCAAACCTGATGTTTTTATGTAGATGATACAGGTGTTGAAGATACATGTTCTGAGACAGTAACTTTTACAAGAGATGCTCTGTAGATCGGTATCTCTCAGTAATCAAAGATTCTGGTGTTACTAGAAGGACAGATGAAATGTTACATTTTTTAAACAGTTACCTAAGTCTGCAGTAAAGTTGCATGTTAAGATTTCCTATTTTACTTTGGGTCAGACTCCAGGAGTGGGGATAGATTCTGAGTTCTGTATGTGGCAATTCCTGGGAGCAAGGATCTCTTTTAAGTGGCCATTTCTGAGATCAACAAGAGCAGATTACTTTCTTTCCAGTTCTTCAGATCAGTTCCTAGTCAACACTTTTAAGAGCAGATTGAAAACCTTAAAAGAACTGCTCAACCATGCAAAACACGCAGCTCCACGTGCGATGCCACGTTCATACAAAAATGCTCTGAAGCTACTGCTTGCAATAATAACACAGATCATAGCAATGGACAATTTTTGCTGTGAAAACATTTATACTTCAGCTGTCAAGCAGTACATCAATTGCTTTAAACTTCCATCACACAAAATCAATGTATTTCTCGTGACAGGGAATGGGAAAGAGCTAGGCACACAGTCTGTAAGGGATGCAATGGCTTTGTCTGACACCCAGGCTCTGGAGTATTGCTCAGAGGGTAAACTCGGTGTGGGAGATGCAAAGAGCCTAGTTCTGCCCTATGTCTCTTGCCTGCTTTCTGTGTCTTGCAGCAGTGCTTTCTTTGGAAACAATTCAGCTCTGAAGTGCCAGGTTTGACAAAGGAAACTAACAGTCATGACTGAAAGTGCTCTCTTGAGAGCTTACTAAAAGAAAGAAAATTTATTTTGAACTTAGAAGTAATAGCACTCTGTTCCTTTTCAAGTGTATAAGATGTTTATACACATCAATTAAAAACAGATAATAATTTATTTTTTCTTTTTTTTTCTACCAGATGATTTTCTGGTCATTTGCTTAAGTAGAATTTGACACTTCTTGGGTCACTTAAAAACATGTAATGAAGCCCTAATGACAGGAAGGGATGACAAAGCCATCGCTACTTTATAACCCACATTACACTAACTGCAAAATGACTGCCTGAATCAGTCCTCCATGGTTTCCACAGTGATGTGGAACAGCTAATCCTGTGCAAGTGTTTTTTGCCAGCAGGAAGAGAGAATTATGCTGTTAATACCAATACGATGATTTTAGTCAGGAACAGTATGTCTGGCACTGGAAGAAGCAGTGCCTATCTGCCACATAGGTGGCATTACTGGCGTAATGACTTCATGTTATTTTATTTAAGTTAAAAACAGTCACCCTGCATCTGAACAGGGTTAAGAGATCAACAACACGCACAGAAAACCAGCTTTGGTCTTAGAATCTCCATCTGCAATATTCAAATGTGTCTACATTTTCATGAGGTTATGACCATCAGAAGTAATTTTTTTAAATTTAATCTACCACCCTTACAAAAATGAAATGAGATTTCAATATAAGATTAAAAAGATTGTGAAGAAGTAAGTTTGAAGGTGATTTAAAGAGGCTGTCTCTTATGGGTTGTAGTCTGAGACATCCATCTTTGCTTTTGTATTGCACAAGGACACATTCATATTTGTGGATTCTACCAGGCTCTGATGTACCTAAAATGTGGCTCACAACTGAGCACACACATCCCAGAACGTTTACTGTTCTTTAAATTCTTGTATTAACTGATGTAATACACGTGTAATTTAAAATAAGCATTCAAGGTAAATGAATGGGTAGACTTTAACCTCAGTGCTTCAAGTTCCAGTCTGTACAAGACAACAAATACTGATTATCCGGTGGGATGAAGTAAGTGTTAGCTTTGGAAAAACTGCATGGTAAGAAGCACTGTAAGAGGGAAGAAAACACAGGTGATATTTCCTTTCTGCAAATAGCTCAAAAATAACCTGTGGGGAAAATCTGACTACATGTTCATGCACAATCATTTTTATCTGTGCATATTCACAGTTGTAACAGCCTAACTCCTGAACTGACATAGCAGTCTTATTTAAAATAATTTTGGTGACTTTTTAAATACATAGGATTCCTGTTAGTTATCTCTATCAGCAGTTATGTTAATTTAGAAAGACAGAACAGCTTACCATAAAGTGCTTGTGCTAACATAAGGGAGGCAGCAGGATGTTATCAATGGGAGGACATAGAAAATTGCTCCTTTCAGCCCCATGTTAAAGATTGGACCCTTAATCATCTTTCAGAATTATGGGCCAATACTCATTAATGCATCAGCATTTACAGAGACGTGATTAAATCAGTCCTAGATAGGAAGAAAGTTACCAAAGTTTCTAGCATTTTAGATGCACACAAAATCATTTAAGTCATCCAGACAGTTTCACAGAATCAAGCCTTGCTTTAAAGGAATTTAACAGGCACAGTTTAAAACATATTAGCATTTCTCAAAATATGAAGAATGTCTTGTCTATTGTACAAGAAACAAGCATGGAGTATAAAGAACACCAGTCATTACTAGGTTGAACTAAGGACTGTGTAACATTGCTCACTCCATTCAAAACCAGAAGTGTCTTGAATTAAACCACTATAAGAACCACTTAACTTTAGGCATTTACATCTAAGCTTATTTGAATCTGCCTTTATAGTTAACATTGAAAACCAGGCATACACAAACCCATTTCATCCTAACACAGAAATGTTCACACCCTTGCACACTTCGTGCCAGCTTTCCCATGCATGTGAGATGCCAGTAAGCTGTTTTAGAATTACACATGCTTACTGCACAAATATAAAGCTTCCTTGAAGAAAAGTTATCAAATCTGATTTTTTAAACTAGGTCTCCACAAACACCTGATAAAGTTTAATCCACAAAACTTAACTGCACATTCCCTGTTTAATGGTTTTACATTCACATCAAAGTGGTTTCACCCATTAGAAATAGTTTATTTTCTACATTGTTTGCAAAATTTATTTTTAGCATGCATTGTAATGAATGACAGAGGCACATTCCAACAGAGTACTACAGCTGTTTAAAGAATGAAAAACAACCAGTCAGTTTTCCCTCCACAACATGAGGTCTCATAACAAGATTAGTTTTACAACAAAGTGCTTATTCTTCAAAGTAATGCAGCAACACTTGAGCCTATTTAAGAGTTATTGTAGGCAGCCTCCATCAAACAAGTTAGTAGTATTTTGATAGGACAGCCATCCAGAAACTTTTGAAGACAATGTCAATATTTTAATAGCTGTTTCCAAAAGCTTGCAAGTCCCGTTGTTTTGGCAGGCACCGAATTGTTTAAAAATTGATCTCTGATCTGCAGTTACTGGATAGGGCAAGTGTTAGTGTTAGCCTGGTCAGTCTGAAACTGAGAGGGAGCAAAATGAGTAGAGTGTTTTGGGGTTTTTGTTGGTTTATTTTTTAAAGTTTTGTTTTATAAGTGGATAGTTAAATATATTTCAGGACATTTGTAGGCTTTCTATTAAAGCCACTTCTTTAGGTGACCCATTTTTTTTTTACAGAAAAAAGTCCTCACATATGCTGTGTTATCAGAAGAACCAAAAAGGGGAAATAATGTTCCTTGAAACACATAAACAAGTTGTTATAAGCCTACTAAGATGGTAATCAACAAATAGGGTTGAACAATATCTCCAAGAAAGAGTCTAAAATTAAAAAAAGCTGAGGGAACTAGATTTCAGATTCCTTTATACAGTGTTAGGAGTTGGTTTGCATGTTGCACTTTTCTCCATCAATTAAATAAATAATTTCTCCTTTTGATCAACTAGGTACATCATTTTTAGCAATAGAGTTCACTTTCAAATTTTAAGGTGCACATATAATCCTTTCTACCACCCTCAATATTTTGAGTTTTAAGAAAATTTTCTTAGGAGTTCAACACACTTTTCTCATTGTTCAGTAATGACTAATATGCATAACCTCTGCCAAGAGCTGTCTACAGTGAACCCTGTAACTTTTAATGATGCCACCATAAGAAAGATGACTCAGGACCTTCCTCCCAGTGTAAGAGTCATGGGAAACAAGAAGCAGGGCAAAGATGTCACTAAGCCATCAAACATAGGACCAAAGTTGAATAAAATGCCTTTTTTCAGAACTTAGCCACAATTGTTTGTGTAATCTTCACAGTGTTTTGCTAACTTGCTTTTGTATTCCTATACTTCCAGGAAATCCAAAACCATTTGCAGCTTCTGGTTCATTGTTAATAACTGCAGTTGTCTTTAAGAATGATTCTAAGTTTTGTAGATAAATGGAAAGTTACTTACGACAGTAGAAAAGTTCCACTAATACGATAACTGTCCATCTTTTGGTATTTCTTTCTCAAAAACATTCAGGTTTGGGGCCTGAACCAGATTAGGCTCTGAAAATAGATTTTTGGATAGCTCTAGAAGCAACTACTGTAATACATAACAGATTTTAAAACTGAGGCATTTTGGAAGCAGTCAACACAGTCTAAAATTTTTATGCAATTTGTAACACATTATGTACTTATGGCTCGATTTAGATCAACATCAATGCAGCAATTACCAAGAAAAACCTTACCACTCCAAGGCAGGGACAAAGACACCTCTTCACATGTTAATACAGATATTACTGCTGGTCCTTATAGAAGTTAGTCAAAGAAATAGCAAGGTATGCTGAAAGAGGAATAAGCTACACGCTCATCAACATTCTTGGTTACTTAACATAGCTATGCCAAAATTTTCAAGCCCCCATCTGAAATGGCTATTCACTGGCAGATACTACACAATCAATTAATGAAACTTTACAGTGACAGAAATGGCAAGGCGCACATAAGGAAGAAAAATGCATTGGCACTATTATTCCAAAGGTGAATATTTGTAACTTGGTTTCAATTAGGAGAAATGTTACAAAACTGGAAGACTTAATTAACTAAATAGAACACTTTTCACCAAAATACATAACTAAGGTTCTTCTAACAATCAATTTCCTCAAAACAAAAAACTAACCATAAATCTGTTATTGACAAAGACCAATGCTTTTAGCTCTGGAAGCCACTAAACTGAAGTATCCAGACATCTGAAATTATCAAGTACTTTAAACTCCCATTAAATGCAGTATATCACATTAGATATCCAGGACTAAAAAGTCTACCAACAGTTTAAAATAAACATTCACATTTAACAAAAGAACATGTATAGGATAGTTCTTCATAACACTTTTTTCCAGGAATCAAATTACATCTGTTATAGTTACGGTGTCCCAAATACTCCTTTGTAAGCTACTGAAATTTATACATAGAATCTATTAGCAACACAGAACTGATTTAGTATTCTCTTCAGAAAGCATCTGCTCAAAGTTGAAAATCTGGATGACAACATTTACAGTGTTAAAAGTGCTTCTACAATGAATATACTGTTCAGATACACAGTCTCAGAATACTTCGTGAACTCTGAAATGGTTATCTAAGGAGGGAACGTCATCAGCAAAATGCAGTTGATCATTTATTTCCACACCAAATTCTTCAAGTATCTGTACAAATTTCTCATGCTCTCTTCCAATCCATGACCTCATTGTGTCAAACACTTGGTACGGTGTAACATGAGCATGAACTTCAATTCCTGTCTCTGCAAGTTCTTTCAGCATTTCAGGGTAAGTAACCCAAGTATTGCTTCCTCCCGAGTGACCACCATCCAACCAGTACATTGCTTTTATGTTTTTTAAGAAGGCATCCGTGTTCTTGTCTTTTTTAGCTTCCTTCAGCTCATAAAGCAGCTGGTTCAAAACCACACAACCTTTACTGAAGCCAATCAAAGTAAATGACACTGCACCTACAGCAGACGGTACCATGAAGTTCACAGCAGAATTATTGGAGCATTCACAATCTCTCTCCCTTTCCGTGGATGAGCAGCCATTGGTTGTAGGAACAGACTGCGGCTGTGATTTACAAGCAGCTATTTTTGCATCCTTGCTGACACCATGCACACTTTTCTGGGACAGCAGAATATTCTGAGAGAGTCTGAATGCATTAACTAGCAAAGCATGGAGATGCTTGAAAGCTCCAAAGTCAGTGCTGTGCTCTGGTGCTCCAAACATGTTACTGGCCACAAAGTTGTCATAACAACTGAATTTGTGCAGGTGCATTCGAGAACACTTTATGACCCAAATAAAGCTATTGGGGAACCGGCGAGCAAGTATGGTAGCAACATTTTCGAAACTCCAGTGCTCCCACTGAAAGTTTTCTGGATGGCAAGACATGACGTCATGATAGTTCTGAAAAATTAAAAAAAATAAAACACAAAAGATGCATTACTTCATTCTGAAAAGACTTCAGCTCCAATGTACTCATATTTTTAAGAAAGGACTGTAAGAGAGAAACATGCATTAGAGGCGCTCACTTGCTAGGCTTGCAGGACAAGAAACACATTAAAAAACCAGATGCATTTAGGTTTACTTATTCTACTTTAATATTTTTACCACACTTTTTAATACCCCCAAAATTAATACAATAAAAATAAGCACACAAAAGTATTAATAATTCTTGTTGACTTCATGCCAAAAGAAGATTAAAGTATTATTCAACTTAGTATGACACAGAATACATAATTTTACTGTATTATGTCCATCTATGGAAATACCAATTCCCTTATTTCAAATCAACAACAGACTTAGAACTTTGTAATAAGTTTTCTATCTGATATACAGAAAAAAAAAAATCCCTCTCATTCAGCTGTAGGAAGTCTTTATTGCCCTTGTTCACATCCATAAAGGGTATAGATGGAAAAAACCTATCCCCAAGTCATGAATGGTCTTTATATCTGAAGTCATAATGGCAAAGAATACTACTTCATTTATTTTATTAAGCAATAATGAAGCCATACCCAGAAACGGCAATCAGGCAGGGGTTCTTAGGCCATCTCAATCCTTAAAATAAAAAGTTCTGCATCTTTACCTTACAGAAAAGGAAAGCCTTTTCCTTAGAAGAAAAAGCCACCACCCCTGCTTTTGAGAAGTAGTAATGACATTTGAGATTAGCTGGCTATGCAAAGTGCCAGAGCATGCAACGTTACAGAGCTCGACCATGTGCGCAGGGACAGCACTTCAGGGTCTCTGCAATTTCTTGCCAGCTCAGAGACCACAACTGCCTTCTCAGGGCAGGCTGAGAAAGCATCAGATTCCTGTGCCCATCAAATTCTTCCAGGACAGCGTCTGGCCTATCCGTACACCTGCACGGTGACATGGTGTTCTGCCTGGTGAGGACAACTTGCCATCTTAGGGTTTCATTATCTTGTCTCCACTGACAGTCCCTGACACGCTTTCAGACACTGCCATCCCCACTATAGCACTGGGCAGTGCTTCAGTGCTGGAGCGTGTCCAGAGATGGGCAACAAAGCTCGTGAAGGGTCTGGAGCACCAGTCCTCTGAGAAGCAGCTGAAGGAGCTGGGGTTGTCTAGCCTGGAACGAAGGAAGCACAGGGGAGACCTTATTGCAACTACCTGAAAGGAGGTTGTAGCCAGGTGGGAGTTGGTCTCTTCTCTCAGGCAACTAGTGGGAGGACAAGAGGACAGAGTCTTAAGCTGCACCAGGGGAGGTTCAGGTTGGACATTAGGAAAAATTTCTTCATAGAAAGGGTGATTAGACATTGGAATGGGCTGCCCAGGGAAGTGGTGGAGTCACTGCCCCTGAAGGTGTTTAAGGAAAGACTGGACGTGGCACTCAGTGCCATGGTCTGGTTGACACAGTCCTGTTGGATTGGACTCGATGATCTTCAGAGGTCTTTTCCAACCTGGTTCATTCCGTGAAGACGACTCACCTCCCCTGCACTGCTGCTCCAGCTCAGGTTTCCGGAGGGCCCGTTCCCGCTCGCTGTGCCCGCCGGTGACGGGCAGCGAGATGCTCCCCGGGGGCAGAGCTCTGATGGCCCCGGCAGCCCGTCAAAGCCCACCCGCACAGCCCCTGCAGCGCCGCCGCCCCGCTCCCTCCCGCAGCCCTGCGCCGTACCTTGCACGTCCCCCGGGAAGTACACCGACGTGGTGCTGCGGCAGCGGGGCCGGGCCGCGGCGCGCGGCGGGCGGCGCGGCGGCAGCAGCAGCAGCTCGTTGGCGCGGTTGCGGCTCCGCGCCCGGCACCTCGCGGGCAGCCGCAGCCCACGGCGGGCTCAGCCGCGCCGCGAGAGCCCCGCGCTGGCGCCCGCTGCCGCCGCCGCCCGCAGGGCCCCGGCGCAGGCGGCCGGCGCCCCGCAGAGGCTTCATGGCGTTGCCCAGCTGGAGCGCGGCGGGGCCGCCGAGCCCGCAGGAGCAGCCGCGGCGGCGGCAGCGACGGCAGGCGCGGACACCGCCGGCTCATGGGAACGCCCGCGCGCCGCGCGCCGCCGCGCTCGCGCGCCTGCGCAACGCCCCCGGCCCCGCCCGCCGGCCCGCCCCCGGAGCCCTCGGGAGGGAGCAGGCAGGGGGCGCCGCACGTGCGCGGCCGCGCGCCGGGCCGGTGCCCCGCCCCCGCCGTGACGTCACGGAGGCCGTTATAAGGGCAGCGGCGGGGGCCGTGAGGGGGTGTCTCTGTCCTGCGGGACGGACGCGGGGAGGGGGGGTTTGGTGCGTGGTGTTGTGCGAAACTGTGCGTTCTACGCGGCAGACAAAGCAAGGAAACAGAGTCTGTCCTTTACTCCTGACCGTACCCAGTTGCTTTCTCTGGAATTTTGGTATTTCACGTCTTCATTCCTTTGCTGTGTTTTCCTAGTCTGCTTAAAAGCACTTGTATGCAAAGCTGGGAAGCCACCAGATGCCAAGTCTGACTCTCACTAGCGGAGTCAGTTGTGAAGGAAGCAGCGCTAACTGACCAGTGATTGTGTAATCAAGTAATCAAACTGTTGACTGGTTTCTTCTTGTTGGTAAACTCAACAAACGAAAGGAAATATGGTGATACTAAGATTATTTGTTCGTGTAGCAGGCTAGAAACAAGCAGAATGCTTTAGATTGGCTTGTTTTCTAGGTATAAATTCTAGCCTGCATGTTTTTGTGCAGCCTGCTCACAGAGATTCAGTTTGAGCAATGAGGTGGTCATGGTCTCCTTGGCACACTTCTGCTTCTTGTGAGTATGTCTTTGGGCTCGTTACAGAACCAGCTAAACAGTTCTCAGTTTCTGTGTTCTGAAGCTCATCCAAAGGCTCTTCCAGAAAGCAGACCTGAACCTTTGTCACTGAGGGTCCACACGGACTCTCAGAAGAACATCACGTTGTGATATATACTTGGGATTCCATTGTTTAGTATGTGAGCAATACATATTTTTCTTTATTTGTAGAAACCAGAACAAAGTTGATGCCTGACCCTCTTGATGGAGTAAGACATTTTAAAGGATATTTTTTCTCTTTGTGTTTCTAGGAATAACAGCGATTAATTAAAATTTTTGTTGACTTGTGTTTTATAGATGTTTGTCTTAAACTGCTTATTTTTAAACTTAACGCTACTTTTTTTTTTTAATGAAAATTGTCTTTGATACGTTTAAAGCTTGTTTCTCAAACCCTGAAAAAGCAAATCCAGATTCTGGTCACCAGAAGATGGTGCTGTGTGGTTCAGTTTGAAAAATCTGTATCAGAACAGTTTATCTGGTTATAACACCCTTATAGGTGTTATAACACCCTTCATGTCTTAGAAGACTGATATCAGAGGTGCATTTCAACAATGCTTTTTTTTGTTGTTGTTAGCAGATAATTAATATAGACAATATTTCTAATGCCTTTACTATAAAGCTAGCAGTCAGTTCCAAATGCAGTCTTTGAAACTAGAGTTCTTCTGGGAATTCCTGCCCGTGCTCCTAGTTTTCCCCGTGACCATGCCCAAAGGGTATAATCTGACTGGAAACTTTCTTAATGCCTCTGCTAACGAAGCAAAATTATTTAGGAAAAGAGCTGTAACTCCTTCATAGACCTATTGAACTGTCTATTTCAGTTCATAGAGGCATATTTTCTTAATCCAATTTTGAGCAATTCTGGTTCATGCTGATGCTAAAACTTTTGATTAGAAGGGTCAGTGAAGCCTTATCACTTCTGTTCCCCATTAGGTCCTGTGCTAAAGCAATATTAGGTGAGACCTACTAAATGTATACATGTAAGAAAAAACCAAGTGGTCTGCTTTTGTCATAGGAAGATGATAATTTAGAAAAAAAAGCCCAGAGAAACTGAGGAAAAATAATGCCTGTGCTCTGAAAGTCTGTTACTTGGACCTAGGTTGGTCAGGTTTGCTTGCAAAGGCAGAGCTCTGTTATGATACCTGATGAAGTAGTAAGGATCCATCAAAGGGAAGTGGTAAGGAGAGTGAAAGTTTCCAATGTAGTAATTATTGTTGAGAAATGTGAATAATTACTATCACTAGCATGGAAAAAAATAAATCTGTGCTCTTATCCTCCTGTGGCCTATATTTCCTTCTGTGGTTTCTCCAGATGAAAGATTAACTTGCCCAGAATGGTTTACAGATATTATTAGTGTTGTGGTGACAATTCTGGTAACCAAAGTTGATGCTGGTACTTCTGCCCAGAAATCCTTTTACAGTGTGTTCATTATGCAACTGTTACCAGGTAATTAAAGCTAATATACAGGGTGGCATAGAGGCTTTCAGCTTCATCCCAAATGCTACATGAGCCTTGTGGGAGAACATGAACATTAGTCTGTATCTTCATCAGAATGCAGATACACACAATTACCAAATAATGAAAATGGCTCTCTTTTGGTTATAGGAAATAATGGTGTACATGACATGTTTTTCTCCCCTTAAAATAGAAAGCACCAACCTATTCCTACTCTCAAGAAGATCCAAAAAATCTTCCATGGCATAATATAAATTGTGATGGAGACTGATCACTCTGAGTTTGCTTCCAAACTTTGTCATGTGGCTATTGAAATAAGTAAGCAGAGTCAATAATTGTGTGTATCAGTCCTTAAAAATATCACCCATGATATACTGTATTTTGAGGGGCCTTTGTCTGCCTTCATGTTTGTTCTTTTTTCTGTGATGCCTCATTCCTCTTCTGCTTTCTTCTTCTTTACAAATTTACAATTTTTTCTTACTCTGTTCTCTGTTATCGTAAAAAGAAAGATGTTTTCTTTTTACATGTTGCTGGTCTTACTACATCTGCTCTTCTTTCCCCACAGCAGCCCTCACAGTTTTTATACATGAGATCAGTCATGAGCTGACCACTGAGTTGCAGCAGAACAGCCTGTCCTGCAGGTGCAGCTCACTGCTCATTTTTCCTTCCTTCTGTAGGTGGGACAGGGAAGTAAAGTGCATAATGTTTTTTCATGACTTTGCAGAAATCTACCAATACATCTCAGGGAGTTTGGCAGAAATAATGTATATTATGGTTGATTAGCAGTGATGAGAGACGTGAATTAATGTGTGAACATTAATTGCTCTGGAGAGAGAGAAGGAAGGGCTTACTCGCCTCTTCAGTCTCTCTGAGTTCCCATACAGGCCTTCTGTGGTTCCTGCAGAGGGGTTAATTAGTCTAACCTGGCAGAGGCAACTACATCTGCAGTTTCTAACTAGAAAGAGTACCACAGCAAAAGTCATCTTTATGACACTCAAAGAACTTTTTCTGGAATTGTCTCTGTTTCACTGCCTCTATAGCATGTATGCTAATCCCGTGCTTTCATTTGGAGCCCACATAAACAGCACAGAATAGCATTCTGGTTGTATCATTTTTGTAGATCAAGAAAATATGTTGTGGTTTGTTTTAGTCATAGCACTTAGACTAAAGCATTTTAATAGGTGCTTTAATGAAATTCTAAGTGACGAACAACTGTCTCCTGATGTGACAATAATAACTTTAGCCAAGTATTCCATATATTTGAATTTATATCTGTTCATATGTAGCAACTGTAATATTTCATGGTATTTCAGTGATCTTCAGAAGAACATGCTTCCTGCCCAACTCATGTGCAGTGTGCATATATACATATTTGCATATCTGTGTATTATATTTTGCATTCTAGTTTCCTTTTAAACATTTTTTAACTGCATATGCATTGAAATTGCCAGTTTGCATTTTGGCAGAGGATTGGAATAACTGTGAAAACACCTGGTAAAAACTGGTAGGAAACTCCTTTGCAGTTGATATGCAGCTGTGTCTTTCACTATTGAGAGAAAGTGCTGGGCCTGGCTCATCATTCTTTTGGGTAAGGTAACACTTTAAGGACTCAGTTACCTGTCTCTGTGGTGGTATGCACAGAGAAATTCCCAGTGGCTGCACAGTGATGAATGGCAGGGTCTTGGCTTGTAATTTTAATAGTGGCAACAGTTCAAATGAAATTACAGCTATTATGCTCCATTATAAGTACTAAACAATTTACTTCTGCTGAAATTCCTACTGACAGCTCTGCCTGCCAGCATCCATCTTTTGTGTGTGTATGGATATTCAGGAGATCATAGGGGAGAATAAATCACTCTCTAGGCAATTTACTGAGTTGTATGAAAGTGAGAATAAAAGCTTTTCAGCATGAAAAATAAATCCATGTTCCTTTTATGTCAGCTGTGTGGAGATGCTGCTAAAATAACAGGATATAGGATCTCATTTCTGGTTTTTTTTTCAATGCTGAAAAAAATTAAGAATGTACAAAGTAGTTGGAACCACTGCTACTGCTTAAAACACCTCTTTCTCTTGTTCTGTTTTCCTGTGGAAATTGGTTTTGTTTAATCACGCATCTGTCTATCTTTCTAATACCTTTCTGTCAGTCCTTTCCATTGCCTCTATTGGCTGCTGTAAGTGGAGAGCAGGAGTTGCAGATAACCTGGGAATATTGGGAAAACTGCTGAATTGATAGATTAGGATGAGTCAAATGAATGCCCCTGCTGGAGGAAAGCTGGGGGGAATTCAGCCTCTGTACAGCATGTTTGAAAGCAATACACTGAAAATTCACTATGTGTTGGGTATGCACATTGGAACCAGCATGTGCTGTCTTTGTCCTGGTCCAGTGCACAGGAAGGTAGGTGGTGGGTAGGAAGGGCTGGAATTACTCTGATAGAAAATTTAAGAGCAAAAGACACAAGTCCATAAAAAAGCTTTGGTAGTTCTGCTGTTCATGGAGCACATGGTTAAACGACAAACAAAGTTTCTGTGCTTTGCAGTTTGTTTAAGCATACAAGAAAATCTTGTGGCTTAAGGAAACTTTATGCTGTCTGGTATAAGTCAATATAAATTAGGAAATATATTTGGGATTTAAGAGAACATACAGTGGCCCAAGTAGTATAATAGAAGGGGATTTTCTTGCTTAAAGAAATGGACAAAACTCAGCCCCCTAACTATTTCTGCAGTCTGAGGTTTGGCAGTGAAATTATGAAATTCT